TTTCTGGTCGCTGGTTGTTTCAATTGCATCGTTACCAAATTTAGGCTGATTAATTGCATCATGTTGAGTCTGCAGTCCATTTCTCATCGGTTGTTTTCAACATAGCACCAATACCACTATGATCATAGCCACAAAAGCGATTATAAATGGTCTTACCGTAGTAAGACGAACTTTTTCGCAGTGGGATCCAAATACTCTCTATATTCAGTGATCTGTTTGACAATCAATCCAAACTAGTGATATTTAGGAATTATCGCGTCACGGCTTTTGGAAAAATGCTCAAATGTTGGATTAAAATGAATTCAAACGTTTCTTTTAGCTTTCATACAAAAGTGGTATTTTCCAAGGGATTTGGAACGAAAATGTAGAAATGATACCAAAGCCGTAGAGAAATAAATATTATGTTATTCAAATAGCACTGTTATTTCATAACAAAGACTGGAGTTTGCGAGATGAAATTTCTGAATCTTTTGCAAGCTTTATGCACAAAAATTCCAAGTGGACAAAATATTGCGAGTTGAAAATATCACCGCAAACAATTGCATTTTTGACCCCATTGAGACTTCAGATACGGTCGATTGAACTGGAAATCGATTCTTCATAAAAAATTAAGTGATATATAGTTGCCAATAATCTTTATAAGGTGGTTAGTTTGTGAGCTATGACCGATTTTGTACGCAAAGTGTGACCATTTCGGAAATTTTCAATATTTTCACCTACAAATTCGAATTTGATACTGAAATCATGGGAAAATGATATAATCTTGCTCTCTAATTCTCAATATTTTGATGAAATAATAGCAGTTTGATATGATGAAAACCATGTAGGGGGGCTATTTTAGGTATCTTCCATAGAAAAGTATGAATTTTCAGGGATTTTCAAAGGTTGGCCATAGGCTAGGTTATCCTAGGCTATATCTGAAGTGGGTGAAAATCTAATGGTTTCTAAGTCTAAACAAGCCCAAACTTTTGCCATCACCAGATCTCATTTATCTCGACTGGTCGTTGAGCTATCGTGTCAACAAATTACATCAAAAAATTTGCGTACAACGTGCAACGTACGACGTGGAACAGACTCACAAAACATCGCTCTAAAACCCATTTTTTCGTGTTCTACGGCCTCGAAAACGGATAGAAATCATATTTGTGGGGTGTCTTAAAATTTGGGCCAAATGCAATACTTTTACGCAGTCCACGACATGGGCCTGCGAAAAAGTAATAATAAGTATAATAATAAAATAATACAGATGAAAATCGAATCATGAATTTTAGGAGCAATGCATTTTATATTAAGGCCATTTGTTCTGGAGGGAACATTAAACCAAGATTTTTTCACGGCACATTTAATTTAATAATACACTGAAAATATAATATTAAAATTTCAAATATCTGTACACAAATTGATTAATAATAATGACGAGCACGTACCCGATTACTATTTATTGCTTTGAAAATTCAAGACAAAAGTGACAGATATGCAAATGCTTAAAGTACAACGTGACACATGTATTTTACATTGACAGACACACAATTTGACAGCTCCACAAGAAAAAAAACTATGTATGTCACTCCCTATATATAAACCGGTATTTTGTGTGATTTTTTCGACGATTTTAAAGGTAAATATATACAAAGTGTTGGTTTCATCTCTATTTTCAACAGCGCCGTAGCCAGGCCGGCGCAATGGGTGCATTGCATCCTCCAAAAATTTCAAAGGTGCAACAAAATCGAGTGCAAAATCGGGTTTCAAAGGTGCAACAAAAGAAAAATTTCGATTTTGCACCCTCCAATTTTTTGTTCTGGCTACGGCGCTGATTTTCAATAATCCGAAGGGAATTTGTGATTTGCTCAACTTGTGTTTGTGTAGCGTCATTCGGTGCGAAATCACGCTTGTACTCGAATGTGAGCCAGTCTTTGTGATGAAGAATTCGATAGTGAATAAGTTTTTTTTTTTGTCACAATTTTCATTTATTTTTCATTTCTGAACGATTAATAAACAAAAAAATGCATTGCAATTGATGGTTTTTTAATTTTTGAAATTTGTTGTGGTTTGAAATCGATGGATCTCACATTTGAATGTAATCTTTTTTTGCCCATATCTTCATTTATTTGTCTTAAAGGATTGTTGATTCAACATTTAAAATGATTTATGTGGATATTTATGCATTTTTTCGATGAATTTTGGGGGTGGCTCACATTAGAGTACATGACCCTAATGATTTTGAACCAAAATTGAAATTTCGCGTGGAAAACTGGTCCATATCGAAATTAAACGTTGAGTGGTGTTTATTCGACGTGGATAATATTTGAATATAAAATTTTTAGATCTTCGCGGTATGCACAAAACACATTCCGCTTCAAAGTCGTTCCAAAGTTAAAAAACAACCACAGATGGATCGTCATTTTCATACGGAAAATATGAATTTGAATGATTAAACAACCTGACGTATACTTTCGCGTTGCATGCCCAAATGAATTGTATTGCGCGATTTGAAACTGGATTGTTTGATAGTTCCTTGTTCTAATTGCACAAAAATTTATCGCACACATTTTTTAAGGAAAATGTTTCTAGAACAAAACCACCCTATGGTTTGAATAATGACGCATGTGGATCACAATGCATTGCAAATTCAAGCGAATTTTACGATGTGTCCTCGTTCTGTTCACGTGATAATATTTTAATGGCTTAATTTGAATACGAAAAATTTTACATCTTCGACGATAATAATTTAAAATTCAAGTTCTTCAAGATCATGCCAAAGTCATCGCTATCAACTTGATACATTCATTGGAATTTCATGGAAAGTGCTACTACATACGGCTAAGGTTTTGTGTGAGATTCGCTTATGTTTTTTTGTTTCAGATAATGCGTCAATTTGTATCAATGCCAGCTTATTCACCATATCGAGTGATGTAAAGGAAATATGATTCCATATATCCTAAATTCCAAAGGTATACGCCTCGTCGTTAATCATCCATATTCATATCCACATTTGCCGTATGAAACGATAATCTATCTGGATGTTTTTCAACTTTGAAACGACTTTGAAACGGAATGTCTTCTGTGCATACCGCGAAGATGTAAAAATGTTCGTATTATTCGTATATGGCAACACCACACAGCACTACAAGAGTGAAAATATTTGGTTGGATCCGCAATTCAATGTGATCCACAAGTGTTATTTTCCAAACCATAGTGAAGGTGATGAAGAAATAAAGTTGAACATCTGGTAATTTCGATTCGATCCATTTGATGTAAAGCGTATAACTATGCGCACGTGCACAGGTGGAATTGCAATTCCACCAATTCACGTCAATTATTCTGAATTTCTCTCTCCAAAAATTAAAATTCAAATGTGCGATAATATTTTTTATATAATTAGAATTGTCATTGCGCGTGGATTAAATTATACCGTTAATGTGTTGCTTACTGATGTGACCATACTTGAAAAGTGTATAAAAAGCCGCGTTCAATTCAAATGTCCGTCAAACAGTTCATCAATTCTTATCAATTGATACGTTTACAGTAAACTTTTCAACGCTAGAAAAATGCTGACTCCAAGATCTTTCACACTGCTGCTCATTGGCTTGGTGGTATCCATGGTGAGTCGACATCATTTCAGTCGAATTTTTTGTCATTTTAAGAATTTAACTTAATTTCCTTTCACTTGCGAATTTGGCATCGATTTCTTTTACTTTGATCCTTTTAGTCGAAAATTTAAGTTAATTTTTCTAAACTAATTTCATCGACAAAAATTTATTGAAAAAATGAAGAAATATTCCATTCCATATGAAATGTCCATCGGAAACTTTCATTCGAATAGTTGAAAACCATTACAACCTCATCCATTGCTCCCATTATAATGATACGCTATTATTTATTTTCCACAGTTCTTAATCGTGGATGTGAGTGGAGTATTTCCAGCTGCACCCAAACGAGATTCGCCAAAAACCTATGGCTCACCTGTTATGATGAACCCGGATTCTAAGACTGTAAAAGCAGGAGCAAATGCTCCAGCGCCGGCAAAAGCTCCAGCGCCGGCAAAAGCTCCTGCGCCGGCAAAAGCTGCGCAGAAGTCATTTGTAAAAAGCCAAGTCGAAAGAATCAATAGTGGTATCGCACAGAATAAAGGCTCTGCGTCTGCGACTAATGGCAATCAAAATGAATCAGATAAACCATATGGCAAACCTGTTATGGTGAGTCGGAAAGCATGAGCAGGAAA